TTTTTTTATGGGGATACCTCAAGGCAGAGGTTTTTAAACATCGCCCCACAAACCTGCTTCAGCTGAAGAATGTTATTCGGCAGGAAGTTACCCAAATTCCAGTGCACATGTTAAAATGTGCAGAGGGGAACTTCAGAAAACGGTTGCATCAGTGAATAGAGAACGGTGGCCACCACCTTCAAGATATTTTGTTTAAACCTACATCATTTAAAACTTTAAAGTATGTTCATTCATTAGCTAAACATAAATTTTGTCTATCAGCAATAATTTTTCTTTTATTCGCCTTCAAAAAAAGGAAGTTTCTGCGCCCTACCCTGTATTTTTCTCTCCAATAAATATTTAGCAAGATATGTGCTGAAATGCATGTATGTCTTCTTGCATAGTGGTCGCCAAATTTGCCCAATCTTAAAAGAAAAAGAATTGAAAAGTTTTCATAGAAATCAATATCAAATTTCATGAAACTCTGTCCAGCAGTTCTTGAGTTGTTTCATGCATAAGGGTGATTCACAGACCTGCGAATGCACCTAAAACCAGTCAGGGTCCAGCTGAATGAGGGAACAGATGAGCAGGCACACATATGCAGCTTACTCACAGGATTTCAAGGAAGGAATTCTGTTCCCTTGGAACCCTAAATATGAAATAAAAATTTGTGCAAAGACATGGGACATACTTTCTCATATATGATTGACTTTGACTATGTTACCCTGGAAATAAAATTGACTGTTACTTCATAAACTGCTGTTGGACAATTAATACCAAACAACAATGAAATCAATGCAACCAATAAAACAGGTCTAAAAAATCAACACTTTGCACTTGGGCCCCTGGTGCATGTACCATTATTTCCCTGAAAATATCACCTATGCAGTTTTATTTCGGGAGACTGCCTCCATAAATTATGGAAATTAATAAAATCTGTTAAGAGCTGTTCCCAAGAAAAGTGTAATTTTGTTTTTTGGGACCTATTTGAAGGTCTATGTTTTTGGAGCTAGCATGTTCTTATTCACAGTGCACAGGCCTACGAGGGATAAAACGTTAAATACCTAACATGAATGAAATCCATCCGACTGTTCAGGCACTAGTGTTGCACACATTCATACAGACTGATGGATGGACAAACAGACAGATGGAACATATTCCAAAAACCATTTTTTCATACTTGGACAGAATCAAAATATGTAAATTCAACAAAACTTACAGAACAAGCTTTTTCAGCCACAGTATTTTTTTGTATATACAATGCATATGAGAAAGTATAAAGCTATTCTTGCAAAGCTTCGGAATTCATGTTTCCCATTATCATATTGTTGCGTGTTTCCTATGTAATGCGGCAAGAAATTTATGTGGGTCTCGGATTAGATGAATATGTTTATCAGACAATCAATTTTTACACTCACTAATACAATTGCTCTGGCTTATGACGCCTTCAGACGTTTCCTCTTCAACTGTTATAACACTCATGCACCGCTATTCTCGGTGGAATGTCTTCTCTGTAATCTTTTCGTATCACTTTGTTTCTTGGCTCATTGTAATCTAGTCTCAATTCTGACCTGGTATTCTCTTATACTCCACCGTTGGCTGGGCTATAGGACACCTTGTTCAAGGGTTCCGTTTCACGGGTTCTATCCGGTGGGAGCTAGTGTTTTCTGTCGTAGTGGGAACTTCACTAGTTAGCTAGTGCATTTGTTGCCATGGATATCAGCTTCCAACAGCTAGCCTTACACTTTGTGCATCAAAATCCTAGTGACTGCACCCATTGTACCGCTGTCATGCAACTGCCTCAAACAATTCATTGCTTAGGTTTGCTAGCCGTTGTATAGTAATGGATGTGTTCTAATTAAAAATATTCCGAAACTAGACAGCACGCCACAATATGCTTTATTTTAAAGAATGGTTTCTGAAAATTAGAATTAGTAAAAAATTTCATATGATTTTCATTTCATGAATCATGTTGTGTTATAATATATAATTTCTTTATTAAGACCGTCACAACACAATCACATCAAGGTCAGTGCCTGGTTTCAGCTCTGCTACATGTTTCGGCTATTAATAGCCATCATCAGGCAAATACATGGCCAACATATATGCATCACTGAACTGCAGTATTAACAAGACTGGATACAATAATATTAATCATATTAAAATGCTTGATGTAAACATACAATAAATAGGTTATATAAAACAAAAGTTATAGTATAAAACAAGAACACAATTCTTCAATTGATGCTATACATCATCAAGTCAGTTGTTGGTTTTTATTATTTTGTTTCATTCCCATGGACAAATTAGAGTATTCTATATTTTGTGTATAAAAACTGTTACTGGAGGCTCATGATGCAGATGTAGTAATATTAATGTTAATTATTTTGTCATTGTTTACATTCCCTATAGAATGGACAATACTTTGTAAGATGGGCCACTGACAAAATAATTAACATTAATATTACTACATCTATATCACGAGCCTCAAATACCAATTTTTGTAAACAAAATATAGAATACTCTAATTTGTCCATGGGAACGAGACAAAATCATAAAAACCAATGACTGACTCGATGATTTAAGGCATCAATTGAAGAATTTTATTCTTGTTTTATATAACCCATTTATTGTATTTTTATGCCAAGTATTTTAATAGAATTAATATTATTGTATCCAATTTTATTAATACTGCAGTTCAGTGGTGTATATATGTTAGCCATGTATTTGCCTGATGATGGCTATTAATAGCCGAAACATGTAGCATAGCCAAAACCAGGCACTGACCTTGATGCGGTTGTGTTCTTAATAAAGAAGTTATAAATTTCATATGAATATTGTGACGTGTTGCACAATGGTAATAGGCAGGTCAACATCCTCCCCTCCCCCCGGCCAGCGGTGACGCGCCGAGCGGAGCCGAAGTTAGCCAAGTCCCAGCATCCCGGTAGGTATGCAATGCGAGTCAACAGCGGTGACATCATCAAGGGAAACCGCGGTTGCTAGGCAGCAGTAAACAACTCCGGACAGCGTTGCTAGCAACACGGCGCCAGGCAACAAGGGTGCCTATTACGTGGCCGTGTTCTGTGTTGTCCGGAACGAGGCTACATAAGGAGCAGCGAAGGCTATTCACAGTCAGTTCC